CCAGGCGTCCTGTCTCTCCCCTCCACTCTAACCCACTAGACCCCCCACTCCCCTCCCAGACCCAGGGAGAGAACCCAGGTGTCCTGTCTCTCCCCTCCACTCTAACCCACTAGACCCCCCCCACTCCTCTCCCAGACCCAGGGAGAGAACCCAGGCGTCCTGTCTCTCCCCTCCACTCTAACCCACTAGACCCCCCCACTCCCCTCCCAGATCCAGGGAGAGAACCCAGGCGTCCTGTCTCTCCCCTCCACTCTAACCCACTAGACACCCCCCACTCCTCTCCCAGACCCAGGGAGAGAACCCAGGTGTCCTGTCTCTCCCCTCCACTCTAACCCACTAGACCCCCCACTCCCCTCCCAGACCCAGGGAGAGAACCCAGGCGTCCTGTCTCTCCCCTCCACTCTAACCCACTAGACCCCCCACTCCCCTCCCAGACCCAGGGAGAGAACCCAGGCGTCCTGTCTCTCCCCTCCACTCTAACCCACTAGACCCCCCACTCCCCTCCCAGATCCAGGGAGAGAACCCAGGCGTCCTGTCTCTCCCCTCCGCTCTAACCCACTAGACCCCCCACTCCCCTCCCAGATCCAGGGAGAGAACCCAGGCGTCCTGTCTCTCCCCTCCGCTCTAACCCACTAGACCCCCCACTCCCCTCCAAGACCCGTGGGGAGAATCCAGGAGTCCTGACTCCCAGTCCCCCCTGATCTAATCCACAAGACCCCACTCCCCTCCCCGAGCGGAGGAGAGAACCCAGGAGTCCTGGCTCCCAGCCTGCACCCCCCCCCCAGCTCTAACCACCAGCCCTCACTCCCCTCCCAGAGACGAGGAGAGAACCCAGGCGTCCTGGCTCACACTCCAGTGCCTGATCCCCAGGCCAGTGGCAGAGATCCATCCTGCAGGGTTGCCAGTGCCTGGGTCTAACCCAGCTGGTGCCCGTTTCATGACCACCGAGGGGAAAAGCCTGGAGCTGCCAAGTGACAGCCCCGGTACAATGAAGCCCCCGTGTCCCAGAAAGGGCAAGATGCCCTGGCTGAGATTCTGGGGCATTTGCCTGGCTCTGCCAGAGACACGCACCCTCTGGGCCCCAGTGCCCACCTGGAACATGGAGGTGGGGGGTGCCCAGCTGTGGGTTAGAGGGATAACTACAGAGCAGACCCAGAGGCGGTGCTGGGTGCCAGGTAAATACCCTGGATAGAGACTGGTGGGGTGGCGGGGCTGGAGACAGACAGCTAGAGGGCTGTGTATCGGGGTGGACAGACACACAGAGGTTGGGAGGCGAGGGGGCAGGGGGGAATCAGTTGCATGCTCATTACTTTGCTTTAGCAGGGTTTGCAACCCCCGCGCAGCACACACACACACCCCGACCCCCATGGCTTGGGGCTCTGCTTTGCACCCAAGGGTCCCTTCCCGACTCCTGCTGCTGCTCGGGGAGGAGCGGGTGAGGAATAGGGGGGCTGCAGCTCCCCCTCTCCCCACACACAGCTCTGACAGGCACCCCTCTCTTCCCACACACAGCCGATCTGGGCTCATGTTCCTGTCCAAGTTGAGGCCTGCTGGGCGCGGGCCCCCCCGCCCCCTCCGGCAGCGTAGGCAGGGATGGGGGTGCCTGTC